AATGCCAGGGAAACACAGATGATACCTCATTAAGGGGTACACTTGGTATGCACATTCTGGAAGTGGACCACTGGGCATGATCTAACTGCTTTAAGGGAATTTTTCCTTCTCAGGTCTCAGATAATGCAATGTTTGGCTTGTCCTATTCAGTTAAGGCAACTGTTTTTCAACTGAACACAAGCTTATTAAAAGGTAATTACTGCTGAGGGTCATACACATCATACCTATGGGATTAGACAAGGAAAACAAACCTTGCAGAAGACTGAACCCCTCACAGGTATTCAAGAACCACATGCAGTTTCTGCAACTAGGAAAGGCCATTACTTTAAAGTTACTATTACTCCTTGGAAATACTCCATTCACATCATGTACCTTTTTGTTCAAAATCAAGCACACCTATCTGTCCGCTAAGCAGATCCACTTTACTACCTCATACAGAGAGCTGCTTCAGGACTCCCAGCACAAGGAGAACCAATTAAATTATGCAAGTGCACTGCTGCATCCCACAGTTATATCATAGACAATAACTGAGACAGCAAAGTATGTGTGTGGTGACCTCTGGGTGTTTTCTGCTGTTACTGCTTTAATCTCCAGAATATAAACAAAGGGATTATTTCTTTCTCTAATGGAGCGACAACATTTTTCATGTAATCTTGCTCAAATGCATCTTAACCCTGCTTTTTGATAAAGAGCCCTGCAATCCTTTGCATTATCATTCTCATTGGGGTGAACATAGATGAAAATAGTCCAGTGCATAGAGAGATCACTTTGGCTTTCTGTGACCATATACCTTTATGCACTCAGAGAACACTAGGATGTTTCATGTATTAACACATTTATATTTAAGCCTGGCAAAGCCAAGTGAAAAGTTAAGATAGGCCTTCCTCAAGGCCTTACTGAGAAACTTGAGCAAAGGGGTAAATTTTGTAATACTCAACCAGATCCAGAGTAATTGGGCCGGACTATAAAATGACAAGGCTAAAACTTCTTCTCTGACCTATGCCACCTTTCACCCACATGTTTCAGAGCTCTTTACAAACACTGATTTAATCACCTTATAGTGTTCCTAGGATGTGTTATACTTCTGTGATTATCTGGTGTGCAGAAAAGTTTGACCAAACTGCAGTGTACCATATCGTAAAAAGAACAGCATATAAAAGGCTGACTGAGAACTTGAACGTCCTGAAAAGACATGTTTCACGTATGCTTTCCTACCAATGTTAGGAAGTAGATCTGTCAGTAACAAAGCTTAGAGGTCTCCATTTGAAACCCAAAGGAATAGCAGCAGCTGTGGTCATGGGGATACAGTACCAGGGGTGCAAATTTCCTTCACGAGAGAAGAATATACTGATTTAGTTTGACAACGGAGTTATTAGCAGTCTAACTCTCCTGTCAGACTGCGGGTGCGCAACTAAATATGCCTAGGGATGAAATTTCATCATGTGGCTTAGCACATCACCGGAGCTTCTCAGCTTCAGTGTTGTGGGCATTCGGTCACCAAGCCTGTATAATTCAGTATAGGCCACCTTCGTTCCCTAGCCTGCGTGCTTACACCAGCCTAATGAGAGCAGAATTTGGTGTCTGCTCTCCAACCCAGGTACAGCTCAGAGTGAAGAATGTTAGTCAAATAAATTAAAGATTTTTTTTAAAGTTATTAATGCCCCACCCCATTATGCCCCTTTCTATCAAAGACAGTTCATTCTCTTCTTTTAAGCCAAATTTTCTCTACCAAATGTACATATTACCGGTTTCTCACCCTCAGTCCTAGCTACACCTAGCACTTAAAAGCCCTGAGGGGTGGCACTTGTTACATGCAGGCACTGAGAGCCTTTAAAAGAAATAAGTGCAAGATTTCTCAGCCGTGTCTCTTTGAAAAGGGTTATTGCAGACGTGTCAGTGCATCTCCTGCTTTGCAAAGCCCTCCACTTGTTGTGCTGTGTTTACTCCCTCTCCACCCACCTCCCTTTAAAAATTTATCAGTAATCAGAGACATCATGAGGAGCAATTGTAGTGTACCTAATATTTAATGAGTGTGTAGCATCCTTAATATTTAATGTTTAGATAAACATTTCTGCACTTCCCCCCCCCCCGTTTTCATGATCCTAGAAACAGGGCTTGCCATATCTACCCCACAGGACAAACAGCAAATTGTCTGGTGACTTGAAAAAAACATTAGGAGCCTCTAAGTTACATTGCTGATTCCGCCACTTATGACAACGGGTTTTCAAACTGCGCTCTATTCATACACCTCAGGTATCATACCAGGCCACAGTACTTTCCGTCAGAAAAATACTCTCTTTTTCCGTCAGCATTGAGCTCTTGCAGATGCTGTTCCTCTTATTCCTTTGAGGACCAAAGTCAGGAACCTAAATTAATCCAAGCTTAAATCTGATGCACAACTTAAGATTGGCTGTATTCATACCACCTGCTGTATAACTCTAAGTCAACAAAGTAATTTCTTCATGTGGCTGCTACCTTTCTGGCCAACCATAGAGGTTGTAACAACGTCCCTTAAACCATCCGCATATAGCAGCGAGCACACTGGATTCTTAACTAAACTGGGACTCTTTATGCTAGAAATGATGAATGGAGAATACTGGCATCCTCCACGTTCTTCGTATCTGCAAGGCAAAATGTGGCTGGAAGCAACTTCCACACCACTCAGTCATGCAGCAAAGTCAAATTATGGGTAATGATTTTTGCAGCCTGGACCACAATCCATTGAAGGCACCAGTCTCGTTTTTATTCCCACAAGCTGTGCTTGAACCTCAGTGGAGGGACAAAGAGGCACACGCGTTTGATCAGCCCAGCTCCTTTTAATGTGATTTCTATTTCAGAACTGTTTCTTTTTATGCCCTCAAGTCTTTCTTCGTAATATCACCTGTGGCCTAATGTGACAGCAATGCTAAATTATATCTTGATGGCTAATTAGGGTAATTAAAGTGAAAATAATCAAATCAAAGTAATGGGCAAACTCTTAATAAAATGTCAAAAAATCTCTATTCATCATAGAGGGTTTTTTTTTTCTCTTTTGAATGTCAAAGAACATGGGTAAGGAAAAAGCCGGACTTCAGAAATGGCCCTGGCTTAAAGGAACATCATCAGTCTAAACACTCCTAAAAACATAACGGATCTACCGCTAAAACATTTTTATTATCAAAAAAAAAAAAAAGTAAGGTTAAGCTGCGCCACAGACAGGAGTTTGCTGCTTGTGGTAACTAATGCACTTTACCTCGCCCCACCGGGGGTCAAGGGACCTGCTTTATTTTTCCTCAGGTAACGGTTTCTTTTCCCGGCCACCCCCTTCCAGCCCCATGCCCCTTTGCAGCCAGGACGGCCTCTCACGGACAGAAAAACTCACTTTGAGCCAACACAGCCCACCCCGAACCGCACCGCCAGGCCGGAGGGCCCACAGCGGGGCCGGGGGGTCTCCGCTCCGGCCACCCCGAGGCGGAAACGCCCGGTACGAACAACCGCAGGCCCGCCTTCCTCACAGGCCGCCCTCGCTGCGGGGAGGACGGGGCGGGGAGGCAAAGCCCCGGCGCCGTCAGGCGGGCGGTACGGCTCCCCGCCGGCCCTCAGGCCTACGGCCGGTTGCCCGCTGCCCTGCCCGCCCGCCGGCAGCGGAGCCGGGGCAGCGTTTGCGGTCTCCAGGCAACAGGGCGCCTGCCTGACCCGGCCCCTGCTCTCCGTCCCGTCCCCGAATGCTTCGCTTCGCCTCACCTCAGCTCGCCTCGCCTCAGGAGCTCCCACCGACGCCCGCTCTCAGGTACTTGTGCCCTCCGCCCTTGCGCTGGCCGCGCAGCCGCTTCCCGCCGGCCATGGCCGGTGCTCCTGAGGGCCCCTCACCGGGAGGGCTAGGCCTCAGGTGGTGCGGGGCCCAGCGACCGGCTCTGGAGCTCGGGTTTTCACGCTAAACCGCATCATTCCCGCTGGTTCCCGGGGGGTAGAAAGGTGCAAATCTTCTTCTCCCTTTCCTGCCTCTCCAAGGCTGGGGGGGGAGGCAAGTGGTGGGCAAAGTATCAAGGTGCTATTCTGTCTCCTCCTTGTCCGCCGCCAGCACTGACGTGCCGTCTGATGATTAAAAATTTATCAGGCAGACATCTCAGCCAGGGAGGACAAAGCCCAGTAGGCCCCCCAGCCCCATGTCCTGGATGGTCAATGAGGTAGGGACCACTGACAAGGCTGTGTGGCGGCTTTCCAGCATGGCTGTAGGCTGAGAACCTCTGTAGAGTTTCTTCTCGTGGCTTTGCTCCCCAGTAAGCCTGTCAATGACAAAACCCTGGCTTTTTGCAGCACCTAGGCTTGCTTATGTCTGTCAGCTGGAAAGCTACCCCCGAGCAAAAACACCTGTGTTCCACAGGCCCTCATGTTGCCAATTTTTTGTTTTATAGGCACTAGCCACATTACACATGTGATGCTGCTTGGCAAAGATACAATTGCAGAAAATGTCACCTCAGGAGCTTGCTGCACTGCTCTGCAAAGAAGGGGACCACCATCTCGCCCAGCAGGAGTTACCAATAGCCACTGCTTTCTACACAGCTGCCTTCAGCTGCAGTGCCCCCACAGCAGTACAGAAAGTGAACTCCTTAGACAGAGGGCTCTGGGAGAAAGTGATAGCCACTCTGGAGATGTGGTGCAAAGGCAAGAATCAGATTCCCAAGATTCAGAGCAAGAACTTGGCCGTTGTTTCCCTCAGTGTGGGAATAGCTGCCATCTTTCTCTCCAGCTTAAGTCCCGACAATGTAGTGTCCACAGTATATAACCTGGAGACCCTGCTCAGGCGAGGATGCTCAGAGGAGGTAGTGAGTAAATGCAATACCCTGCTCAAGGCTAACCCTAAGTATTCAATGGAACTGCTGCTGCTGAGGGCATTAGCATGGCTGCTGTCAGGGACACAAGTTAGGAAGGGAGTTGCGGACTATATCCAAGCCTTTGTGATGCATCGGGCTGAGGCAGTGGCCTATGTGTGTACTAGGCAGAGGGAACACCTGCCACGGGTCATCCAGGCCTTCTCTAATTATGTCTCAACATACCAGAAAGAAAGCCCTGACTGCAGTTCCTTGGACCAGTGGCTGGGCAACTGCTATGACTTTCTGTCTGCAGTGGCACCGGATGATATCTGGGTTTGCAGGGCTCAGGCAGCTTACCTCTTTAAGAAAAGCAAATTTGAGGAGTGTGTGGCAGTTTGTAGCAAGGCCCTCAAGGACTTCTCAGCTGATAATCTCAGAGATGAGAAAGCTTTGGGTCTGCTCTTGGAACGGGCTGCTGCATATTTCTTCTTGGGTGGACGGATGCAGGAAATGATTCAGGATTTAGCGGAAGCCTTTGCAGCAACCCCTGCCCAGGCAATGAAACACTTTGAAGAGCTCTTCTCACCACATGACACTGAGAGGATAGAAGAACAGGCTAGAACTGTCCTGGAGATGAAGTTTGCAGCATTCAGGGAGGCTGTGCGTACTCGGACTGAACTCAGAGGCAATCATGGTACTGAACTGCTCCCTTCTGTCATCCAGACAGTCCAGTTCCTCCTTCAGATCTCCCCAGGGTCCAAACGTGAGCTCAGTGTTCGGCTAGCAGACTGCTATCTCCTGCGTGGACACATCAGAACTGCCCTGGACATCTGTGACCACCTCTTGGCAGCAGAACAGAAAACTTACTACAATACTCTCTTAGCATTGCGAGGATTCTGCTCCCTCCACGCTCATGACCATCAGCAAGCCCTGCAGGACTTTCAAAAGGTCATTGAGCATGATTCCCCACATCCTAACAGCTGTATTAAAGCCTTATGTGGGCGTGGACTTATCCGGATTTCTGGTGGCAGCCATTACTTGACAGCCCTGGATTATATCACAGCTTGCCAGTTAAAGCTGGAAGAAACCATCTTCACAATCAAGTCCTATGTGCCATGGAACCAAAGAGGACTGCTGCTAAAAGTTCTCCAAGAAGAAGGACAGAAGATGCTGCAGAAGAAGAGGTACGCAGGAGGCAGTTCAGCCTGTGGGCAGAAAAAGAAACAGAGCTGTGCAGATTCCTAACAGAAAGAGAGCAGCTTGAGTGGTAGAGAGAGTACTTGCTTGGTAGAGAGACCCTTTTGAAATTCCTAATTAACATAACAGGTTGAAATAAAACTGCATGGGTGTGGTTATTCCAGCAAAATGTTGTTTTGCTGGTATGCCAGAATGCAATAGGATCCACGTAGCCAAATCAGCTCAATCTTTCTATGGAAGTTTATCTGTGATAAACCCATTGGCCTAAGCTAGGAGTGCACAAAATGCTAGAGGGAATATGACAGAGGTTTCTCCTCTACAGGAGTAGATACACCCATAAGAAAACAGAATCGTTCGTGCTAGCTGGCTCCTTTCACTCTCAGCTCTGAACTGAAGGATTTGGTAGGCCATGAAATACCAAGACCCTAGAAAGTGTCCTTCCAAGACAGAGCTGAGGTGCTACTGTGCACATACTTGGTGCTAGCAATCCACATTCTTTTTTCAACGCTAACCATATTAATGTCATACTTAAGGCTGGGAGATTTGAGACAAGACCACCAAACTATTCTGGCTAAATCCATTAAAACCTGAGTCTGAAGGCAGAACAAGGTGTAACAGAGGGACTTTGAGGTTTTAATACTTAAAATCGCCTTTCTAAAGATCAGAAAAGATTGCTCATCAAAGTAGTATCTTTATTAGTTTTTTTATTTCTTCCTACATAAAACAAGCTGCTATTTAAATCTAAAAATTTCAGTGTTTCATTTTCAAAGTTTTGTCTCATACCAGGCCAGGAAAAGTTATCCATTTTCTCCAAAACCGAATTTTTATGTTACTTTCTCATTTTTTCCTCATGTGAAATACTAGTATTTCAGGAGAAAACTTGAAAATTTGAAGTGGGAAACAGCACGTGAAAGTTCATCTCAGGTGGCTGCTCTTTACAAGTGATACCCATATTTTAGTCTCTTAATAATTTAAGTACTATTATGGCCTTTTTCTGCAGTTGCATGATGCACATTTCACACCCAGTACTTGGGGCCTGCACTCCAGTGGTATAACTGAAGGACAGAAAAATGTATTAACTCATTCAGTGTTGCACTGGCAGATCAGGGCACAAACACAAACCCCCTTAGACACAGGTCACTGCTTCTGGAACAAGCAGCTACCTATTAACACAGTTCATGAGTCCATGCAAATTTTAACATGCAGCTCTTCATTAGAAATTATGATTATTTTTTTTTCACTGTCACTGTTACTTTTTCCTTTTTCCTTTTCCCATTGTCATATCAGCTGCAATCACAGATATGAATCATTATTTGTCAACCTTTCTTTAGAGCCACAACTGCTTAAAAACATGTTTTTATAAAGAGGGATTATGATTATGGAATTAAGCAGCAGAGATATCTGTGATGCTGAATATGGTAAAATGTATCATCCATTTTGATACTGGACTGATAACCTGCTTCTTAGCTTCCAGGTGAGACAAAGAGGCTCTGTTACTCTCATTAACATTTTTTTCCTTGAAGGTGGTCTTTCCCTTTTTCTTCTTCTTTTTTTTCCTCCAGAGATGCCCCTGGGGTTTACCAGCTGGCTTCCCTCTTGGTGGAGCTGGACGCTTCCGATGAAGCATCACGGATCCTTTGTGCTGATGCCCTGTACCAGATGGGCCGTGTAGAAGAAGCTCACAGGCTCCTCTTGCTAGCACTCTCCAGAAATCCACAAAGGTCTCCCATCCTGGTTAGACTCGCGCTTCTGCAATTGAAGAAAGGTTTCATGTATGATGGCAACCAGGTAAGGAGGACCTGGCTAGCAGAGAGAATGAGAAAGCGATCAGTGATGGATATGGTGAAGAGGGTTAACAACCCTTTTGGCTGATATAGAAGATGCATGGTAGAACTTAAGAGGGACCACTTCAGAGGCATAGGCTTGCCAGAGGGTGTTCCAAGGTTTCAGTTTCCCAGCACAGTGCTCTACTTGTCTCCTGCTCCTCAGTGTTACATGACAACTGTAAGGCTCCGGGTACAAGCTGCCCTGTGAGGCCACCTCATCACATGGCGCAAAGTTGGAACCCACCCCATCACACAACCTGTGACGGGTTTTCCAGTGGGGCTGCACCTACCCCAACCTGTCCTTCAAGACATTTCTCAGGAATGTTGGTAAGCTGGGCAGAGGTCTTTGAAAAAGACAGGAAATGCTAAGAAAACTTGGTGACTTTCATAAAAAACTAACCTCCCTGCTTGCTAGGTAATTTTTAAATTGAAACAACTTTGCTGTGGTTCAGGGCAGTGCAAAGTTTCATCTTCAGGGTCATTCCCTTCTGAATAACTGCATTTGACCTCACTTAATACTGCTTTTCCCAGACTGCAATGAAATTACAAATTACATTGTCATGCTCAGTGGTTCATATGTGTTTCCATTTTAAAACTAAACAGTTTGTTGTTAGAAGCTCCATAAATAGCAACAGTGAGGACTGTTGACACAGTGAAACTCAGAGCTCACGTGAGGTTTAGGTTGTTCAACCTCTAGCAGAACTTTTAAGATCTAAATACAGGTCTCATAAGTAGGACTTTCTGTCTCTAGCACAGGCCACACAAGGACTCCTCGCTAAATACCGCCCATTTATCACATGCTATTTAACGGCACTTTTCATCAGAGACTTTAACTAGGCAGAGCATGACTGAACATCCTGCCCCTGGTGACAATATTGATGGGATTGGTAATTTTCCCCTAGAGAAAAGAAGGCAGAACTACTACCTAACTAATTATCCTAATGCAGCGGGGGGGGGGGGACACACACAAAACCAGAAGCTCAAATATCAGTCTGCAGTTTTCTTTCTTTAGTGGCTAATGACTTGTGCTTGAAACCATGAAAGAGATTCCAACATGTTGATTCTCCTACCAAGGATTACAAAGTTGAATTACCAGGTTCTGCCATCAGAGGGAACTATTGCATTTTTTAAAATCCCGTATAAATTCTGCTAGCCATAAAGAGAAAGGTTTTATTGTCACCACTTCCCTACTCCCTATGAAAAATAGAAGTTTTGTATAATTTGCTGCTTTTGGGAAGGCTATTAATGAATGACATGACTTGATTAGAGTCCATAGGCTGCCCTTGGAAGCTGGATTCCTATCTGCGGCTTCTGCTACAATTTCTAGATGGAACATATATGTCACTGAAAATTTCTCTTCAAAATGTTTTTGTCCCACCTGCCTGTCAGCATCCAGACACTTGTATTTATTAATAAAAATAGAGAAAGTAGTAAGTTCAATAGATAAGTCTGGTGCATCAAGATAACTTTGTTCTTGTCCTGGCTTCTCTGGCTCAAATTTGAATAATGAGTACCTGCTAAGCACATTTGCTTTACTGGGGGAAACACCTTTTGATTCTTTTCCTTAAGAAATGTAGTTAAAAAGTGCTTGGAGATTTTCGGTCTAGTGAATGGAGGCAAAGATACCATATGTCAGGCAAGACTCTTTTCCAGGAGGGCAGTGGTTTGTGGATTTGAGTCTGTACTCTTCCCAGATTCCCAACAGAGAAAGGCTAAAAGAAAGGCACAGCACTTCACTGATTTTCTATTAAGTCACTGGTTTCAATTTCACAGTCAGAAGGGGTCACTGGAATCCTTCTGTTCCACAGAAACTTTCTCTCTTTGGGGCAATCATCCTGTGGTTCAGCTGTATTTATAAAAACAGTTAACTGTCAGTCTGGAACAGATGCTGCCCAAAGTAAGCAAGGCAGCATTATTTATTTCCCCAGAATGATTTCTACAGCTGAAGTGCTGGTGAGAAAAGATAAGAATTAATGTTTTCTCCAACATACATTTACACTAGGGCCAGCTGAGAAGTTAAGTAAAAGAGATTCATGGTCCTTGGCTGGACCGTGGCTGGCTGAAACCCCAGTGAAGCATGGGGAAGCACTGGATAAGAGCATACTTGTCTCACCAGACAGTAATGTTTCCAGCTTTAGCATGACTTGATTTATCTTTTCATGCCAATCTTTCTCTTCTGCCTTTTTCTCTCACATTGTTAAGCTGCTAAAGAAAGTGATCAGAATTGGAGATACCTCCTGCCTCCTGCCAATCATGGACATTTTCAAAGATGAAGACCGGAAGCTGATGCAAACTCACTGCCATTTCAGAGCACTGACCATCCTGAAGAACAAACAGGAGGATGCTGACATCAAAGAGGCCATTGCCTACCTTTCCTTTGCCATCATTGCTTCAGGTAGGGTTATCAAGATACTGATAGGAGATTTATTTCTATGGGAAATCAGATCAGTGGGTAGGCAAGCATGTCCAACCAATTCCCATCTATCATCTCCCCGATGAGAAGACTGAAACAGTAGACTTACAAAGGCAGGTGAAGAGCGGGATAAAATTTGTTTAAAGTAGCAACTCATCTGGATCATGAAATAGTGTAATGAAACAGTAAACATTCTTTCTGTCCCATAAGTAGCTTGTGAACTACTTGGTAGGAGTTTCAAGTGTTCTGTTCAGTTCAGTTCAGTTCTACAAGGACATCAGCCCCTTTTCCTCACCTGTCGAGAAAGCCCAGCATGTGATTTTATTCTGTTGTTTAGCACATGAAATCCTCCTGGACCACAGCTGAGGATTATTTTAAATTGCATTGCTTACATGCTAAAAGTTAAGTTCAGGCATAAACCACCCTAACTGGGTCATATCGACACAAAGAACCCATAATTCCTTCATAACTTGGAAAAGATCCTTAACATCCTGAACTCATCTATTTCCAGCTGGTGGTTTGAAATTTCTGATCTAATCGTTTCCCACTTTCTCCCGCTCCAGAAATGTAATGTGTACAGGAGACAAAATATTTACCTTCTTTACACTTTAGAGTCTTTTGTTTTGGTAGACCTGCTACCAAACATCAGACTACACTTACTGTTCAGTTGCTATAAGTTGCTTCTGAGTAATTGGTCTAGACAAACTGATCTGTAACCATGATTTTTTTCATATGCATGGTCACAGATTTTCTCACAAGTACAGCTGCGATGTTGAACAAACTACATGCTTTAATGTTATCAGTGCTATCTTCTCAGAGCCATTAGATTATTTTCCTTTTTGTTTGCCAAGCTTTCCTTCTTTATTGTGGTTTTAAAAAAAGACCCTTTTAGGACAAGCAGTGTAATGCTGTTATTCCATTGATAAAGGAAAAGCAGAATGGCAGGGGGATTCTTCCATACTTAATGTAGGGAGGCTGTTTTATCGCAGCAACATACATGCTCAAAATACAGGGAAAAGTCTCAAGGAACTCCTACAGAATTATTTTTCCTTCTATAAAACTTGATTTTTCAGTGAGTAACTGCACACAGGTGAGCCTGAAGCCTGGTAATGTCAAGAGAAGCCAGGGCTTTTTGATCCTGTTGTCCAGCTGCTAGGTTGGACGTTTTTGGAAATGTTTCCCCAGAAAATTAAACTTTATCTAGAAAGATATGAGAGCTTCTTTGAAAATGCAGTAAAATTGTTTCCTAAAAAGATCAAAGCCAAACTTGTGATAAATGAGAGGGGAATTTGATCCCTGTGAGCAATTAGTCCTTGAAAGAGTGTGACTGAGGAGACACTTTGCAAAATCATCTAGATGAAGGAAATCCCCCTTTCGGAAGAAAGAAGCCTTCATCCTCTTTGTTTCAGTAACTTTTAGAGGAGATGCTAGCTGGTAAGTAATTTGGAAAAGCTACTGAAACAGAGCCAGCTTCAGCCCATTTTAGACAAGCAGTGTAGAAGGCTCCCCTGTTTCAGCCTTAGTTTGTTACATCAATTAGTACACTGAAAACCTTCCTACCGATGATATTTATTTGGTACCTCCTGTTTCATCAGAATGAACACTCTGTAAATACAGTCATGGCAGCAGACAACCTGCCTTCTTGTTCCAATACACCAATGAATGTGTAGTTCCAGTGCCAAAGAGTGAATGCACCCACTTACGTACATCATTATCCTAGCTTTTCCTAAGGAGAGAGATCAGACTAACATGGAAATGCTTCTGGCATGTTCCAAGTAAAACCATGTTTGTATGGAAATTTGCCTTTCACTCTGAGCAAATGTTATGACAGCAGCACTGAGAAGAAGAGAGATTGGTTTATGAAAATGGAAGAAAAACCCTGTTAATTGCTTTGAGATGGTTCCATTTCACAGCCCATGCATTCCAGCTTATCAACTCCCCACCTGCTAGAACAGATGCTTGTTAAGAAATAGATATTGTCTTTATAGGAGCCAACTGGTAGAGCTCCAGAGCAATAATAACCTTTGGTACAGAAGTTTTGGAGCATATCAGGAAGGAGAAAAAGCCTCATTACTGTAAAAGAATTGCTAGGAGCCTGTCTGCTGGCTCATCTCTGCAGGCAGCTGTGCAAGATGCTGAATTTGCTGACCTCCCTATGAAAAAGTATTTACAGTGGCACTGCTGATTTATCATCCATTATTGGGATGCCACAGTTATTGATTGCAACCCTGGGCGTATTAAGATCCTTATCAAAATTGTCTTGAAAGGAAGGGGCATGTGGGTGGCGGAAAGATATATGCTCTGTAACCAGTGAATGAATGGACCATGATTTTCATTGTCAACTATATGTGTTTATTTGGGCAGCACTTACATGAAAGCAGAGAAAAAAGAATCTTAGTATCACAAATCCCAGTACATATTAAGTGTCACAGTAAATTAGTCAGTCCCATCTGGATTACTGTTTTATTCAAAACCATGTGTACCTTCTGACTCCACTTCATTAAAACAGCCAAATGGCCTTGTGCCCCCATCTCACATATTTTTCTCCTAGAGCTTTCTTCCCTCATTTGTGCTGCTCCCATTCCATTATAGTAAAGTCTCCAAGGATTCTTTCTAATGAATTTGATCCTAATCCAGCTCAGATCCTAAGATGAGGGAGAAAGGTGTGGTGGAGGGACAGATTTGGGGATATGAAGACGTTCCCTTTTACGATAGCCTTATCTTCCTTTTGCTGCTTTCCAGAGCAGCATCACAATGCTGTCTTTTAGCGGTCCCTGTGAAAATGCATGGAAGACTTTAAGGCAGAATAACAAAGGGCAAAGCTTTCCAGACCTCAAAAATTGATAGAAGTAGTTTCATGACAACTGACAAACACAGAATTTCTCTATGCTCTTAGCTGGCTGAGTCTAGGTATCCCAGAGAAGGTAGAAAACAAATTTGCCTGTGTGGGAAGGTTGAGTGCTTAATAATTGTGGGCCACTCCTTTTGCTTCCTTTGGCTATTCTGAGAAGACCCACTTTTGCTGAGACCCTGAGGTAATCAGAAAAGCAGTCATGGATATTTCAGGAGAGACAGTGTTGATGGACATGTATATTTGTTTCTATTAGAAACCAGGAAGCTTTTGAGCTAGTTGAGCAATGTAATTTTATGATTTTCATTCTGTTACCTTTTCCACTCATTCAATTTTTTATTACAATGTTCTTTTAGCATGTTTAGCTAGACTGAAGACTCTTTGAAGTGGGGCCTGTGTTTTTGGTGTGCCTGGCACAGTATGGTTCCTGTTCATGTCTGGAAAGTTAGAGTTGAGTCACGGTAGGGCAGTTACAGTTATAAATCAAATTGCAGCCATACAACTGCTCTCAGCAAAGTGCCCTTTCTTTCCTTAAGTCACTGTTAGAATTATTTTTTTTTCTTCCTGTAAATATAAATATACATACATATTTTTAGCTATTTCCAGAACTGGTTCTTCTGTTTATAACATGCGTAATCTTTCTTTTTTGAAAAATTCATCTTAGTAGCAAAATACATGCCCTGAAAAGGCTTCTTCGCACATACTGCTGCCCAGACTTTTTTATTGGTCCAGGCTTGCCCGTTCCTTGGTGGCCTACAGAGCAAGTATGAAGATACACTGGTTCTGCTGTCAGCCATCCATAAGTGAGAAACATGGCTAGCTTTATATCACAGAGAGAAAGACCAGGTTCACATTCACATTGGTGGGTAGGCCTGCTGGTTGTGTGGGAAAGCTTTTAGGCTGACATAGGTATTAGGCTAGCATAACACCCAAACTGCTTTGTCTCTATGTCCCATTAACATTTCTGTGGCTTGCATCAAACATATTGAAATTATCCCAACCAGCCATGAAAGATGTGTCTCCCAAGTTAGATGATGACATAGAAAGAAACTGAGTGCTTTTTCTGAGGTTAGATAGGAATTTTGAAGCAAAACTAAACATTGAACTCCAGTCCTGAGCAGCAACACTGAAACCACAACTCACCATTTCTCTGCAGAATGACATTGACATGTACACCACAAGACCTAGAACGACAGAGTAGCCTTGTAACACATACCAAAAAACACTTGCAAGACTTCAGCAGTGAAAATTCATTCTTTGACGGAATTCTGCTAGCCTCAGCAGGACACTTAACTGATACAGTACTGTGTTTTGGAAACCAACCTGACATAGATTCATGTTTTTTTCCTTTCAACTCAGAACTGATAGTATGCAATAGGAATTCCACTGGCAACAAAAATAAAGGAAACTACCACTTAAGTACTGTCATTGTACTTCATCGGGTATCCTCAGGCAGAGTAGAATTTTTCTATGGCTTCATATGGATATCCTCTCCAGCACCCTCCTTATTCTTCTTCCAGTCACATCTGTGGATTGCAGTTCCTTACCATAGCACATTTGCCTCCATCCAGCACACCCCTCTTGTTCCACCCTTGCCACAGCTCTGAATAAAGTGGTACTTACTTTTCATTCCTGCAGTCACCATAACACAACATGTAGGTCTACCACATCATTTTCACTTAGCTGCTTTGAAGGCCTTCAGTGGGGCTTAGTGGTCTGCACACACTGGGATTTACTGCACCCTGTTTTAGAGCAGTAGATGTGAGACCTTTCAGGTAAGCATGGCTGCATTTTTCTCCTTCAGGTGGTTATGCTGAAGATTGCCTTCTCATCAGAGCTCGATGTTATGGCCGCCTTGGTCAGAAGAAAACTGCTATTTTTGATTTTAATGCCATCCTAAAGGAGGACCCTAGGAACGTGCAAGCTCTGAGTGGACGAGGATTCATTTACCTTGCTCTGAAGCAGCATAAGGTATTATCACTATATTGATTTCCTGATGATTTTTCTGATGGTATTAAGCAATGTTAGTGCGAGGTACCACAGGCTTTGACATGGACTCACTGAAATCAAGAGAGTTTCTAACAGAATTTGGCAGTGAAAGGCTCTTGTTTTGGCTGGGCATATAAGTAGTCCACTTGACATGACTGATTTGCTTTCCTAAGTCTAGAGAGAGGAAGACTAAACTTTAAACATAGATCTTATTCACTTTCACTACCATTCATTGATTGCAATGCTGCAAACTCTGCTTTACATTTGATCTCACATTTTCATGAAGTGAAATTGTGTTAGATGAAATGTTGCAACAAGAGGAAAAAGAAGGAACAGTTTCAAGGTTTAGTGAGTTCTTCTCCATCATCTGTGAAATGCTCATATGTGTGATTAGTGTTACAGTGGACTTTGGAGGTTGCAGTATATCATTGCCTGGAAATCATGTCAGATGTTTGCATGGTTTATCTGCTTCTAATATGGTCAATAGCCTCACACTTTACCTGCACATCACACCAGTCCTACAGTGAATTTGAAATGGTGCATCTCCAGTTGGGTGTGTGGATTTGTGCTGGTTTATCCTGGCTGAGCCAAATCCTGCTTGCACTTACTCATTCACAGCATCTCTCTTGCTGTTCTAAGAATTTTTTTCAATAGTAATCTGAGGAGTTCAAAACACTTTGCAAATAGTCATTCAAACCTGTCTTCATGCTCTTATATCAGCTTTGCAAATGGAAAAGATGCAGCACAAGGACAGGGAAGAGCAAAGAGCTTCCAAAGGTGTACAGATGACCTGTGGGACAGCAGAGGACTGAAAGCACCTGAAAGAATGAATTATCAATACATACTTATTGCTAACATTTCATTTTTTGGTCTTGTTTTTACATAGGAGGCGGTGCAAGATTTGATCTTGGCGCTGAAGGTGGAGGCAGGAGTAGTGATCCCAGCAATCCTGTCTTTAAAGCTTGAAACCCAAGAGTTGATCACTCAATTGCTCCTTCAGCATGGCAGGACTATGTTAACTGAGCTCATTGCTACTAAAGACCTTTCAAAAGAAGAAGCCCTCAGGGATCTTCTCATGATTGCAAAAGCACTAATTAAAATTTGCAAGGATGCACCACAATATCACATCTTCTACACAGATGTTTTGATTGCAAATGGTAAGTTTCCATTCTTTTATGTAGCTGATCAGACTAAGTGAATGAGCAGTAAATAAAAGAAAGTGAATGTTAAATGGCAAGTGTATTGTACTTTTCAAGAGAAGTTTGCAAATGTTTTGGGAAAGGGTATGAAGTAGTTAATACCCTTAGATGTGGACTGTGGGCAGGCTACCTAAAGCCTGCTTTAGGAAGTTTTCTTGCTGTCTTTTTCTCCACATGGAATGGGTTATATAGCTTGTACTGGCGTTAACCAACAGGAAGGTATGAAGAGGCTCTTGCTCACCTTCAGGAGGCATTTGGACACTCCCTTGCTGATGACTTTGCTAGTGCAAGACTAGCTGTGCTGCAGCTGAAGAAGAAGAACATGGCAGTGGCAGCTCACTCATTCAGCATCCTAGCTAAAAGAGATGAAAGGGAGTTGGTGTTTCTCCTGAACTTCATAGACGCTAAGCAACAGCAGCATCTCTCTCAGGTACAGTCCTTTTTTGATGCCACATCTGTGGATTCAGTGGGGAAAGAAATGGGAAGCAAAAGTAGGCTGCAGAGATTTTCCCTGCCTTATCTTGAACAGAAGTGTGTGGGAGGACCATTTATCAGATGAACGAGGAACAAATTGGCTGCTTCTTCCAGCCTTCACTTCAGCCGGATTAGGGAGTTGAATCCAAGCTTCTTTCATTCCAATGAACTTGCTTCAGTCTCTAGTAATTCATCATTACCACTTCTTACCACTCGGGTGAATTTCTTGTTGGTCTCCCTAGCATGAGACCTGTTTAATCCTAACACTAAAATGCAGGGGATGTGAGGGGCAGCAGCTAGAGATTTAACAAGATCATTGCTAGTATTGTACTCTGTATGAGTTACACAGTGCTCACAGCTGGCTTCTGGGGAAGGGGAATTCATGTTTTGTTCGTTTTCTTGATGAATTGAAACTGAAGATTCTGATTCAGTCACATTAAATACTTCAATCCTTTTTGCTCTTTTGTGTAACATTTAGAAATTTAAATATATTCACATTTTTATAAAATGACTAGCCTTTGAGGTTGGTATTGGTTTTCTTAGCTAAAACTGTTTGACATAAAAATGGCACATTGCTCTAGTCAACCCAAGTATGTATTTTTCAGTATTTTTTTTTCAAGTTTCTCCCCCAAAGTACATCCAGCTCCGAGAAAGAATCTCCAATAATAAGACAGGCAAGGTCAGATTGATGGTGAGTAGTTTTAACATTCACTCAAGCGCCTGCAATTCTGATTACCCAGAAGCTTCGTGTTCTGAGAATCAGTTTGCTTCCTTTTATTCAATTTGTAGATTGTGTGCACCCTGGTGAGAAGCTATATTGTTATGCTTCCTCCCAGGTTATAAAACAAAACAACATGCTGATATACTTAATGCATCTTGAAGGAGTAGTTTGTATGTATTTTAGCAAAACAGCAGGAGGATATATATAAACAAGTATTAATTTACCAGTCCCTTGATATACCCCATTACAGAGAAAAGAGCCCCTCTCTTCTGAATAATGTAAAAAGTACAGTCTTATGGGAAAGAGGATTTTAGAGCCAATTTGCAATCTTTCACTATATAAAGTTGATAAAGGTACAATCAAGAATGTGTCTATGGAGGCCCTAAGGAAGTGTCTATAAATGAAGATATGATTTACAGCTGAATTTCCCTTGCTGCCACATCACTGGTTCTGTATGGAAGTCTTACAGCTAAGTCCACCTGTGCTGCTTTCTGAGAAAATGCAGGAGGGATTTTCTTATGTTATCAATAAGAAAAAAAGAGAGAAAAAAACCCCAAACAAACTAATTTTTGTACAGCCTAAACTGCACTGATGTATTAGGAACTCACTAGTGCCACAGATTAGTGAAACCTTTAAAATGGGAGAGGCACTTTATTTCTGTCTTTTTTTGGCAGCTGTGGAACAGGGTCTAGAATAAAACTCCTTACTGGTGACTTATTTATCATGAAAGATTTCTCTGCCACTTGAGAGAATAGGGGTGGCTGGACTGATTTCAAGACTGGAACTCAAAAGCAGCATTGGAAGTACAAAAAAGTAAATTTTTTTTATCTTGTACCTTTGTTCAGCTGAGTAAACATTTGGACTCAAGCACCTGGGAGTCTTTCCATATTCGCTAATCTTCAAAGATTTACTGAGCATGATTACTTTTATTACTGAGTAGCCCAGAATCACAACTTTTTTTTTCTATATGTATTTTGTGACAAGGGGATATGTATGTATTTTGCTGGGGTGGGGAAGGAATTGGTTAATTCACCTGCCCGTTGTCTCAAAGGATTTTCCAGTAGCACTTCCTTTTGCCTGCAAGGTTTTTCCAGTTTGTGTGTGAAAGGAAGATCTCAGTAAAAGCGAAAAAGCTTACAGACAGAATTAGTGCCCAAAAAACTCCAGTGATGGCCTTACTTTGCCATGGCTCCTAGCTACAACCTAGGGGAGGGTGTTCTTTCCATTACCTCCATTTCACAAAAAAGAAAACTGAAGCAAAGAAGAGTTTAGTGGTTTACACTCAGCCCTTAGTCTCAGCATTCCACTCACAAAAGTATTACTGCCACATTGTTTTAGACTGTTTGGACATTACAGGCGTTATAGAAATGTGTCATCATCATCCTGGAGTCTGGTCTGAAAAGCTAAAAATAATTCTACATAAGCTGAATAGGAAAGGGTGGAGGAAGGAGAGCTCCTTGATGTACTGATGTTTTTCATGAAAAACAAAGCAATAGAATTCTTCCATTATTTATAGTCTAAGGGGTCCCATGCTGAGAAATTTGTAAACAACTGGGAAAGCCACATGGGAATAGGAATCTGAAAGATTTGTTAAACTGCAAAAGGTCAGAGGAAGGGAGTTTGCTTGCTGCTAGTGCAGCTTCAACCCTTCAGTTTCCTATGTCAAAGGTTAAATGCATGACTGATTGCTAGCTCCTTGCTCAGATCCTCAGACTGCAGTTTCTGCGGCTGTTCATGTGCCATAGGATATCCAGAGCTGACTTGTACAAAAATGGTCTCAAAAGCTATATGGTCGGTGTCAGAATTAGACCCTCAGCCCAAGGTAGAAGTTGCCATTCCACATGCTCTCATGGCACGTGGACCCCAAATAGGGTCTCCAGGTAAAGAAGGAAAGACTTGCTCCAAACTGTTCTGAAAACATCCAACCTTCCTCCAAAGCTCAGTGCTTATCAGTCCATCTTCCAGTATTTACTGCTCAGAGTCTAACCCTTGACCATAATTCCATGTCCATTTCTCATTTTCTTTCTAAGACATTGAACCTTGGTCAATTTCAGCATAAGATTAGTCACTAGGGACTGGAACCAAAAATGCAACAAAAATATGTGTATTTGCAGTCCTTTATCACACAATGAAGTAACTAGATGGTAGAAAGGGTCACAGAGACCTAATCCAGGAAGCAGTCCAATCCCTGGTCACTTATGGCCTGCCAAGCCCTTTCCAGATGGCACCAGAATTATTTCAGTCTGGAAGCCATAAGTGACAAGTTTGAAGATGGACTACAGTTCATCTGTGAGTGGACTACATAGCCTGCTCTTGGCCTTTCAAAGTCACCTGTAATGAGGCTGATAGCAAAAAAGTGCTTCTCAAAAGCCACATGCAGAGAGCAGCTGAACTCAGTTGTGCAATATCTTTCTGGCTTTCTATGTACTTCCTATATCTTCTTTCCATAAGTCTTCGTTTCATATGCATCTTTGTTTAGAAGATGATGTGCAAGTAAGCTGCTAATTAATCCATCTGTGTTATACACCAAAAATGGATCCCAGCTCAGTTCCTTTAGGTCAGGCAGAGCCAAAAGAGAATCCAGCTGCCTAATGCCCATGTTTATTCCATCAATGAAGATGAGAGAGAATTATTTATTCTCAGATGTGCCTTTTTCCTCCAAGTACTGCAGGAATTCCAGAATTTTGTGGCTTGCTTACTTTGGGGACTGTCAGTGAAATATGAAGAAGTCAAAGTAGTGGCTCAGTAAGTGGCAATATTGTATGTGGTGCAGTAAATCAAAATGATCCTGGTTAGCACACTAGCGGGTTCAGCATTAGATTAGTCATTCAGTAGAACAACAAAAATTGTATTTTTCTTCTGCAACTGAGAAAAAAAAAAAAGCACTTTAAAGGCTGAAAATTACAATTTAGCTGTACAAACACAAGGCGTTTTGAAGAACCCCATGGTGCTCTTTAGAACAATGTGATCTAGAACTTTAGAATTTCTAGGAAAAAAAAAATCTTCTCTTGTGAGGATGCTCCTTACATGCAGAAGCAATTCCACCTTGATCCCTTGTTAAAATCCTGCCAACTGAGACAACATTTGCATTGACTAGTTGCCTTAAAAACCACTTGAAAGGGCAAACTAAATTTGCTACTCTTAAATGTATACCGAAACAGACATCTAAGAAGTTTTTGGACAGGCTGCCTGACAATTTATGGCCAGAAATATTAAAGCCAGTGATTGACACTGTTTGAGGAGAAGTCCTATCTCTGTTTCTGTATGTGGAAGCTGAGAGACTCTCTAATAAATATTACTACATAAAGGATTTTACACTCCTTTATAGCAAAATAACTGGGGTAGAATTCTTCATAAACTGTTAGGAATGACTAAATTATTTCATGACACTGGTCTCAGACGAGGTGCTCAGACTTGACCTGCAATATTGATCCATTTCATCCAGAACTTTTTTCCTTAGTTCTATTAAACAGCAATCAATTCTAATCCAAGTCTATCAAAACAAAAAGACAAGGGACACAAAGAGACTGGAAGACCTGAGCAGCTGTCCAGTGTGGCTACTGAGACAGTGGCTGGGCTAACTGAATTTTGGGAAGCCACAAGCGTCCAAAGGCAATGTGTGGTATCGAGACTGATGAAAACATTTACCCTGTGCTTGAAGTCTCAGCTTGTTTGGCTCAGCCTTCTGCAGACCTAAGCTGCTGGTGGCAGCCTTGTTTGTAACTTAAATATTCGGTCTGCTGCAGCATGTTAAAAGCTTTGTTTATTACCAATAAAGGGAAATAATGAGAAATCCATTTGAGGCAAATACTTCTAATGGAGTTTTCTTTATTGACCTTTATGAACCTAAAAATTATATGGCTCTTTCTGCCTTCTCAGTTTTCTTGTTGTTTTTCCCTTCAGGTAAGGGCAGATAGTTCACTTGCACTTGAGATTAATGATTAGGAAAGCTATCGGTTGGCCATTTTTTCCTATAGCTTGGGTAAACTTCAGTAGAGACCAACCTTCATTATTAGCACATGCAAATATTTGTGGGGCAGTACATGGGGCTAACTATGTATCCACCAGAAGATGCAGTTTCCATGTAGTCACCTGTTAGAGCAGACCATGGCAGAAATTTGGTTTCATGAAGAGAACACTGTCTACTTTTAGAGTTTGGTCCATTCAGTTTTCAGGTCATGTGTCATTCCTAAGGAATGTAAACAACTTCAGAAGTGTTCTGAGAAACTTTTAGCAAAACATACAGAAACAAAGAAGAGTGGTTCAGAAACTGTAGCGATAACAGCAAGTGCCCATTGAGCCAAGATTTTTATATCTGCTTGCAAAAAAGATGCCAATTATATGTTCTCCAACTAGATGCAATTTCAACATTTGAAAAGTATCCAAAATTTCTTAGTGTCTTGTGTCTACCTGTGGCCAGTCCAGACTAGTTATTCTATGCTTTTTTTTTTTTTTTTTACTTTTAATAACTAATATTAAGTAACTTTCTGTCCACAGGTAGCAGCCCAGGAAGGAAATGTGCTGATTAAAGAATATTGCTATGAGAAGGCTCTTGGTTATTATACCCTGGCTGTCTTGACAAGCAAAGATAATCCAAGGTATCTCCGACAGAGGGCTGCTTGCCTTATGCACCTGGAAAAATATGACAAAGCTTTAAAAGATATGGAGAAAGTGATCCAGAAGCATGGCCGTAACAGTCTTAAAACACGTGTTGAGGACCACTGCTCAAAAGGATACCTGCTGTTGTCAGTGGCTGAGGAAGAAGCAGCAGTTAAGCAGTATATTGAAGCACTGCAGTTAGATGAATCTATGGCATTGTGCAGCATCATGAATGGCCCTGGCAGTGAAATTTTAACCAAAACATTTCATAAGATTGCACAATATAATTTTGAAATGCAGCATTATGAAGAGGCCTGGAAAATCACAGACTATGGTCTTAAAATTGATAAAAATACTGAACTTAAAAAGCTGAAAACAAGACTTAAGCGAGAGGCATCAAGCTGTAGCATACATTAATTCATCTGATTTGGGATTTTCCAGTGTCTGATTGCTTTCTAGTTTGTGAGGCTGCAAGAATAAGGGAAAGATGAGAAGCTCATAATAAATATGCAATGGACATGGCACTGAACATGATACAGCAAGATTAGAAGTAGAAAGTTTCAGGTAGTGAAACAAAACTGACCAAGAGAGCTATGCGAAAAAGACAAATTGCAGTATTAAGTATTCTTTTAAATTATTGTGAATGTATATAAACTCCCCCTTGTGAAGAAAGTGTTTTGTCTGGCTAAACTGAACTAATTCTAACACACGGGTTCCAATCATAGTGAAGGAAAACATTCAAATAGCTTGCAGTTTATGAAAAACAACCATGTATTTCTTTGCTATTTATTTGATTAGCTTTAACACGTACTGTTAATTAAGTAGCCTTATTTTTATGGGCCAGTCAAAAAGATCCATCAAAAGTAACATTTGTAATGTGTTTGTGAAGGACCATATGTGTTAAACCACTCAGATGACCCACTCCTGAATGGAAGGAACTGCCCTTGTCATAATCTAGTGGATTTGCAATAATCAGCACCAATATAGGAGAGTGGAGTGGTACAAATGCCAAGTAAACTGTTTTTCTGTCCCAGGAAACATAGATAATAGGAAGGATGAGACCCAACAGAAATGAAACATCCAATTTAGTGACTAATACCCTGTTATCTGGGGGACACAGGCAGCTATACTCCAGACTTCACCTTAGACTTCCAGATCGCTGTGTCTCAGTTTGCCAGTGCAGATAAGGGAGATAATCTCTCAGTAGGGGTGTCTGCAAGAGCCTGCTCAATATCATCTTTCACACTCCTGGATATTTGTGCACAAAAGACAGCATTGGAGCATGAACTAATCAAGAAGTGATCAATGTACAAGTAGGAGGTCGGAGTTGGAGGCAACAGCCAAGATGGTAATGTGATTGCTCTGCAGTGATTCAGCACTCATTCTTCATCATCCGTGCTGGACAGCACGGGAATCAACATCTCACATGCTCTGAAGGGTTTTGCCTGCTGTCACATATATAGCTTCACCACCTGTAAGGACAGCTAGACTTAGGGGCCAGCACCGAGACAGTGCTGATATACCCAATTTCTGCATGGTTTGGTGTTTAATCTGTGCAATGGGAGTCTACAGCTTAATTTGGAAGCAGCATGCCTATGCTGTGCAAAAAGGAAACAATGAGGTGGGGCCCAATACAACAGGCTCGTGTATTTGTTTTGACTGCTCCAAGTGAGTTCTCCCAGTGTTTTTGGAGTGTGATAATGCAACCATGAAGAAAAATAGAAACTACTATTGAACACAAAGATTAAAGCAATACTGAGAACTGCCCTCCTGCTTTGATTAGGATGAAAGGGAAAGGAAACATTTTCTTTCTTGTTACATTGTTTTCTGAAAGGCAACATTCCAGAGTGAAACTTCATTCAGCAGCCACGCAATCAACCCAACAGGCAATGATACCATCTGTACCCTTGCATCTTTTTTTCTTCTCTGCATGCTCCTTTTTTTTCTTCCCTAAGAGCACAGGTAAGACTGGACTTCTTTCCTTTCAAATTCAAGAAAAGTTACTCTGATTTTAATCCTAGAGACACTGATGAGTACTTTTTGTTCCTAATTGGCATCAGGATGCGACAGGATAGTTTCTTTCCAAGCATGAAATTATATCGTTAAACAACTGTTGGCTACATTTGCAAGCTGACAGAAATAACTTTGCTCATTTTTCTTCAAATAGTAATCAACTGATAGGAATTTCTCTGTGTCTCGTGCTGAAATTTTTGAGAAGCAGTTGTTTAGGGCTTTAGATTTTTTTTTTTTTTGCTTGATTTTTGGTTTGGGTTTTTGACTGAAATAATAAATCTCTCTACAGCTTCACATTGCTATTTTCTTAGCATCGCTTCTTTTAGTTGCAGGTTTAGTTCAGTGTCAGTCAGCCGATAGTGTCTCTCTTTAGCAATTTGATCCTTGTGTAGCTTTTAGAATAGAATAGTTCAAGTTGGAAGGGACCTACAATGACCATCTAACTGGCTGACCACTTCAGGGCTGGCCAAAAGTTAAAGCATATTATTAAGGGCGTTGCCCAATTGCCTCTTAAACACTGACAGACGTGGGGCATCGACCACCTCTAGGAAGCCTGTTCCAGTGTTTGACCACCGTTTTGGTAAAGAAACTTTCCTAATATCTAGTCTAAGATATCTATGTCTATACAATATACTCTCATTAGATAAACAATTGAGACAATGTATAGTGTCCTTTACCACAATGAATATTGCTGAAGATGTTATATAAGCATGGAAATCCAGACACGCAAAGCACAGACAGACAGACGCTCAGCTGCACTCCAGTGAAATAACTTTATTACAGAGAGACCGCGAATCTGGTTCTCCTCCCGCTTATCTCTGCTGACAGATAGGAATAATATCAGTACAAAAACTGTATTAAGAAAGAATCAGGGTTTAAAATAAAAAAAGAGAAAAAAACAGTCCACATAGCCTACTAGATTAGTAGCCTCTTTGCTGAGAGCAGCAGTACCAACTTTCAGAATTTCTAGTGAACTGAGATTTTCTTAAAGCCCCAAGTCTTTCCATTATGTAAAACCAGGATTTCTCAGGCCACTTGATAGTCATGGAAAGTACTGGGGAGTCAATCTAGTTGTCCTGTCTTCCAGACTAATATTCCATCCATTGGCCTGGGCTGCCTCTTAAGAAGTTTGGGGGGTTTCGGCATGTTTTGTTTTGTTAAGTAATATATTCTTCTTTGCTGCTCTAAATACAGTGCATTTATTGCTCCTAAAGAAATTTTTCTTTAAAAATAGGGATGACATGCATCCCTGCAAGATTACTATAGAGTTACGCTGAGGAAAAATTTGTTTTCAGGTGCCTATAGCTGCTGTTCCTTTAATCACCAGGAAGGCAACCTATTCCTCATGATCTAGATGAATGGCTGCTTCTCTCAGCAGATCCAAACTGTTCTCATCAGCATTTCTGTTTGTTTCTTTTATCTTCTCTGTCCTCTTTCTGTGCCCACTCAACTACTGTGATCGAAGTCCTTATCTTTGCCTGTGCCTAGGCTTCTGATTTGTTCTTTATTTTTCCGTTATGTGCTTGCTCTTCCAACTAATTTCTTGGAATATCAAATAGATCTTTCTGATTAGTCACAGTGAGAGGGGTTTGATTAGCAGCATCGCTGCATTATGCATGCCTAGCACAATTTCACACTCACCACAACCCATTCTGACACTCATTTCCTGGAGTCCTGGGAAGCAGACAGGATTAAATGTGACCCACTTATTTCAACTACTGCCCAGCCCATGCACCTATGGCCAAAAGCATCCCTACGCCTGCGCCTTCACATGCTTCCACCACTCTATTACACTGTGCTTTGCCAGAAGATGTTATCTTCCAGAAAAACAACATGCTGAAGTTCGCAGGGAAGGAGTCCTTTCAGAGTACCCAGCATTTTCAATGAACAGTCACCATTACTGGCTTTGGTTATAACTCAGGCTAATTGTGATCTTTCATTCAGTGCTAGTGAGGCCATGAAGACCATTTAAGATGCTTTAATAGGATCACTGCACTTGAGTCTGGCTCTAGCCAGACTGCTATGTTAAACAAGCTATCACAGCAATCAGCAGAGAGGGCATTGTTCTCGCTAGGGAGCTAGCTTTGGCTGCTTTCCTTTCAGTCCAGTCTCACCCACCAGCAGTAGTTATGCACCAGAAACCTATCAGTATTTATATCAACAACCATCTCCCTCCCCTCCAGGCTGATAAATCTCATTCTTATCTGTTGCCATACCTGCTTCATTATATACATGCTGTTTTCTAACAGGATATTGTTTCCACTTCTTCCAGATTGAAGAATCTGGATAGAAAAACTGCAGTGGTCATTTCTGTATGTTTCTTTAATGTAAAGCTGCAATTCATCAAGATTGCGGAGCTCTTTCCAGCTGCTTTGAGACGCATCCCTCATTCTGCGCATGCATCCAATTGTTGAAGTTGCTTAGAAAAGGAACTCTATTGTAACACGTGTTCCTTGAAAATCTCTCGTGCAACGTGCTTTAGGACATATTCTTAGAGCGTGCTGCTGTAAACGTTATATAACTGTGAAGAATTCAAGTATATTTATATGAATCAACACTAATGTAATCAAGAAGAAAATATGGCTTGATAACCTATGTAAGTAGTGGAACTGGATACCCGTTTATTTGTAATCCAGCTTGAAGCTACATTCATCCCAAGGAAGGATTAAATATCTGTAGTTTACTCGACTTTTAGCTGTATACAGACACTACCAAATATTTCTTTGCTCCCTATGAATTTTCTTCCTTTAAAGTATTCTGCAACCTTAGTAACGCACCACCCAGGCTGTAATACTTGCAAAAAGACTACCTGGTTTCACATTGTCACCGGGTAATGAATAATGAAAAAAAACTTTGAAATCATGCTTGAGAATGTTTCTACATAAACGATTGCCTGCCAGTCTTGGCTCTATGAAGTATTCAGCATTCCTTACAAGAATATAAAAAGAAAATCAGATGTGAGAATATTTGCATCACAAATACAGTTACACAAGTAAAGTTTCCTGACCTTATGCTCTGCAGTCCAGCAGGCAAACAACAGTTTAGAAATGATGGCAAATTGTTTGGAATTAAATATTCAACTGGAAACTTTTCCTCAGAGTTCAGACAGAGGTAAACTTTGAACTTTTGTGATCTCAAAAGGTTTTATTTCCTTTAAAATCATATCACGCCCATTTATTTTTCCTATTTCAGTTAGTTACGTGTTCCCAGGTACTAAGAGAATCTAAACACATCAGCCAACTTCAACTGATCAAATGCATTTTTGAAGCTGACATATTGCCTGGGAAGTCATCTTCCTGACTTTCAGCCTAATTCATTGTGCTTCCCAGATTTAGATCACGGTGGAAATTTGGCTCTGGCTTACAGCCACGCAAACCCAGTAACTTTAATGAGTTTCCATGTGCATAAGTGAGGACATTCCACTTGACTTGCAGAGGCAGATG